AGAAGCGCAAGGAAATCCTCCACGGCGACACCCAGGCATGCTATGTTCTTTCAGCAGCTTTCTCGAAGTAACATTGACCATTAAAGCAAACACAAATTTTGGAAGGCCACAACACCCTCTTTCATGGGGAAGCTCACTCCCAGAACGACTGCAGTAATGGAATCCATTCCGATGACACCGAAGGCCGGTGCTGTGATTGTGTGGAGTTGGAACTTGGAACCCGCTTATGGCAGGCCACGCCCTCCAAGGAAGAACTGTCGCACAAGACCGTCTCGCAGCTCAAGGTTGCCGGTGCTGTGATTGTGTGGAGTCGGGCATGTAGCCGTGGGCTAAGATCCTTGCCGGAATGCCACAGGATTTGTTGAAAAGCAAAGGCCTCAAAGCCAGCACCTGAGATCCTCAGTCCTGCATTTCGCTATTTTGTGGACACCAGCAGCTGTGTGATTTCCCTTGCAGGTCACCGGTCGCAAAGATGATCTTGTGAGCCGACTGTGCAGCTTTGAAAGCGCTCTGGTTGACAACTACTTTTATGGCAGGCCACCCCCTCCAAGGAAGAACTGTCGCACAAGACCGTCTCGCAGCTCAAGGTTGCCGGTGCTGTGATTGTGTGGAGTCGGGCATGTAGCCGTGGGCTAAGATCCTTGCCGGAATGCCACAGGATTTGTTGAAAAGCAAAGGCCTCAAAGCCAGCACCTGAGATCCTCAGTCCTGCATTTCGCTATTTTGTGGACACCAGCAGCTGTGCGATTTCCCTTGCAGGTCACCGGTCGCAAAGATGATCTTGTGAGCCGACTGTGCAGCTTTGAAAGCGCTCTGGTTGACTAGATAGCTCGAGCGCATCGGCTTTGCACTTCTGCCACGCCAGAGTTTCAGGGGAATCTTGAGGCAAAGTGTTGTTGCCGAGACATAATTATGCATCTTTCCAAGACATGTCGTGCCAGTGCAGGGTCGTTGGCGTGTCCCGAATTGTTTAACGAAGGCTTTGGGGAAAGCACAGTCCCGGAGGCATCACCCGTCCCTTTCGCAAACGAAGGCTGCTGCGCATGTTGTTGTTTGTTAGGGCTTGTGGGTTTGGGTTTTTTGTTGTTGTCAAGGTTTTGCTTTTCTGTTGGGGTTTGAAGGCTTCTTGTCGTTGTCAGGGCTTTGTTTTTTTGTTGGGGTTTGAAGGCTTCTTGTCGTTGTCAGGGCTTTGTTTTTTTGTTGTGGCTTCAACGCGCTCTCGCTTCTGGCCGAAGACCTACTCAACTTGCAGCCGAAGACCTGCGACAAGTCACCGGTATACTCAGCTCGAGGGATTCAAACAGATCATAACAAAGTCGATGAAAGAATCAGCATTCAGTTTCGGAAAACGCATTTGGGAAGAACTCAATGAAAGACTCAGCAGACAAGCATGGATATGAAGTCAAAGGAAATCATCCAATGCTTATTCAATCAGTCGGGAAAGTCAACGCCAGAGCTACCTCTGGGAGACACGGCGCCCATTGGGAATGCCGTTGTGAAGCACACTTGACACATCGTGTCGCAGGTCTGATCAGTCAGTGCATACTGCCGAAAGCTGTCAGGAGAAGTCAGAACATGTGATACTGATTTGCAGGTACGTTTGCACCCCTCCCTGGGGGTGTCTTCGTTGGCCGGTGACCCCCAGGGAGAGCACCGGCCCCCTGCTCATTCGACTCAGATTTACCTACCCTTCGAAACAGGGGTGGACACACACACACACACACACACACACACACACACACACACACACACACACACACACACACACACACACACACACACACACACACACACACACACCGCAGGGCAGCATGGCTTTGCATGGACCTCGTTGGGGCCAGATAGTTCATCCGTTCGGAATGAAGAACTCTGTTTGCAAACCCATCCTCAAGCAGCCCAAACTCCATGACATGCAAAGGCAACTGGAGGCCTCGCACGGGGCGTTTGCAGCGATTCTCGACAACGGTGGGGTAGCTGCTCGGATGGAAATCTGCATTGAGATTCTTCATGAGGATTGGGACCCTGCCGGGCGGCTTGCATATCTTGAAGACATCACCGTCCCGCCTCACCCCTGCTATCAGCATCATGTCCTGAAACAGCACAGCCTCAAGGTGACTTGGGGAGACAGCGATGTTGGTGGGTTCAGCAGCCATGTCCAAGATCAGCTCTTTGAGGTACGCTGCTCTGAGATTCGGCTTCCCTGTATCACACTTGTGGGTATGGCAGCGCCGACAGCTTATTGCTGGCATTAACGTAGCATGCATGCCAGCAAGCTCGACTCGTTCTTGAAAAGCGGATTAGGTAAATGCTAGCAGCTGCGTCGTCGCCCGGTCATCCCGTTCAAGCTACTTCTTGAACCCCATCGCGGCGCACTGCTGATTTGCGCACGCTTTGCCTTTGCTGTCGTCCATGGGTCATCCCTGGGCCATAGAACTGCATATGAAGCCAATAAGTTTTCGATCTGTAGGTGTCGTCTCTGCCTTGTAGCAGACTCTTGCATCTGTTTGGCCTGTTTTACTACCATTTCGAAGAAGTTCACACACACACACACATCACTGCACCCTCTTGTTGTCGTGCAAATAAACCGGTTGCATAGTGGTGGCAGGTGAAACGAAACCAGTCATGGCTCCCACGCTGAAGCACGAGTGGCTGTAGTGTTTTGTTATACGAGCCGATAAACGACTTGTGGAACACAGATGCTGAAAGCAACAACTGCTCATGAACGTAGAGAACCCGGTACGTAGGACCGTCGAGTCTACGCGACAACATGCTGGACAGCACCTGAAGCTGAGGTTGCACATGTCCCATGCAATCAGGGGTGGAGCTTGTGGCCCCGTGTTGCGTCTTAGCCTCGCATGATAGCTTTCCCGTACAGGTTCCCATGAAACAAGCAACCGTCAAACTCTGAAATTTGGATAAATTTGGTGGTGACTCATAATTGAGCACAACAACATATCCGCAAGCATCAGTACATCGCGAGCTCATATCAGTACATCGCGAGCTTGGCCGCCAGCTGAGTGTGCGAAGGACACTGGCGTAGTTGCCAGCCAGTGTACGCTTGATAATGTGAATCTGCTTAGACCGTGTCGGGTTCTGAACAAAAACAGGCTTGACCGAAACCACAAGGTTTCGGGGTATAGAGCGATGAGCAAGCCTCAAAACTGGTGCGCAGCAATACAACAGATGCCAGCAAAGTCGGCATGGGCAAGCATCATCGCGAACGTTTACAGAGGGAAATGACGGAGGAAGTTGCTTTGCACAGCCGCAGCCCGAGCACGGGGGGCCGAAGGAGCACATTGGATGGTCATTCGGAAAAGTGCGGATTCGAAAAGGACATTCGTCCGAAAACGAAGCCTCACTGTGTGCAGCGCGTCTAGCAGTCGTTTTATCTGTACATGGAGCCCAGAAAAAGCATCCACACAGCGCAAGCAGCGAGAAGCACCTCAGGCGTAACATGCAACATGTGCAGACTTGAAGATCCACACGCAGACAAACGTTTCCTGTCCGACCGAGACAGCGGAACAGCCTTACTCAGGCTTTCTCAGGTTTGCTCTATACGGCAGTTCATGTCTTAGCGAGAAGCCATGGATCACGGCACGTCTTGGGCATGGTGCCATCTTGTTCGATGGTTGGGGTACTGCGGCGGCCTGCAAAAGCCATCAAGGTTGAACACCTCCCAGCCTTTCCACACCCCGACAACCAGCATTGAAGAAGGTCACGAGTATCGCAGCGACGTTCGGCGCCTTCGCAGCACTTCGCATGGATGGCCGCGTCGTTACTTGGGGTGCCACTGGGCACATCTGAGTCCTCTTCTCTGGGTTCTGCAGTAGCTCAGTAGCTGCTGTTGAGTGGGGCCTTCGAGTTGCAGGGTCCGGTGGAATAGACGGACGCTGGCAGATTCTGAGGTGCAATCCTGCTTCATTTCAGGTCCCCTGCACGGCCAAACCAAGGATCCATTCTATAGCGGCGACAGCAGCATGGTGCAAGACAAGCTTGTGAACGTTTGCCAGATCAAAGCATCTGGCAGAAGCTTTGCAGCTGTGCTGGGAGACGGAAGCGTCGTCGCCTGGGACAGAAGGAAGCTACAAAGTTGCGGTGGGGACTGCCGTGATGTTGAGGACTTGCTGAAGGGCGTCCACTTCATAGCTGCGACAGACCAAGCCTTCGCAGCCCTGCGTTGTGATGCCCGCGTCGTGACATGGGGAAACAAGAGGTGCGATCGATTTAGACCCACGATATATATAGCGCTGGTACTGTACTCGTAGGTGAAAGCTGTGTGCCGGCAGGTATGGAGCAGAGAGCCGCCTCTTCGAAGATCGTTTGCAAGATGTGCTTCACATCCTTGGATCGGATCGGGCTTTCGCCGCACTTCTAAAGAACGGCCGTGTGCTGGCGTGGGGAGATCCCAAGTATGGTGGCGACACTCGTTTCGTGCGAGACGAACTCCAGGACTGCAGCAAGCGCATGCGAATGCATGCTGGCCGCTAGAAGCAAGCCAAGCCCCTTCAGAAAGGTGATCTGTACAGTAGCTAGGCCATCTGTCGCATGAAGCTTTGCATTATGAGTCGCAGCTCTCCCTCAGGATGTGGTGCAGATTGCCAGCTCCAGCGCGGCCTTTGCAGCAGTCCGCGGCGATGGCACGGTCGTGACTTGGGGCGACCCGGAAGCTGGAGGCGACAGTCTACCCGTGCAGGCGAAGCTGAGGCAGGTTCAACACGTCACAGGCCGGGGGATCCTCCGCCCCTGACCACACCGGTTTGCCTAAACGAAGCCGTCAGGTTCCTTCCAGGCCTTCGCAGCGATGCTTGTGGATGGGCAGGTGGTGACCTGGGGAAGCGCCGAGTCCGGCGGGGACTGCGGTGACCTTCAGCTCTCTGCGCACGGGCAAAACCATGACGTGAGACTGCTGAGTCGATGCTGAGACCTATGTGTGGCTGAAGCCGAGCTCTGATTTTCCCTTAACCTTACATGCCTGCCTGTGTGGCTCGCTGCTTTCCGAGGCCAGCACGTCCGACCAGCCCCTTGATGCAGGCAGTCGTCGAGCCTTCATCTGGCAAATGTTGCACAAGTGTGATATGGTGTCGTTTGTCGTGCGCATTGCTTGTATTTTCGACATGGATGGCCGCCTCTATTTACTTTAGAGGAGGTTTGCAGGATGACGTAGCTAATCTCATAATGGCCATAGTGTTTGTACATGCTGGCACGACGATCCGTGCAAACTCCCCTTGGCTCCAGCCGCTCATCTGCAGGCTCCGAGTACGCTGAAGGTGGCCGCCACCTCATACGTGAGATTCTGGCACTCAGATGTCGCACAATCAGCAGCCGCATTTTGGAATGGGGCACTGGGATGCTATCCCGATGCTGCTTAGAACTTCAAGTCCACAGTGTCGAAAGGTGTCCCACCGTTTCGAAGGTTTCACGACGATCAAGTCTTGCCTTGCGTTCTCAACTTTCGAGCTCTTCTGCCGGCACTGTCCGGCTAATTACGACCTCCAGCTTCCGAGACCTAGGTCCCACTGGAGCATCGCGTCCCGTCGTTCAAGCCCGGGCCGCGGAAGGGCAAGTCTTAGCAGTCTGCTATGCCGTCCCAACGAACCCTTTCAGAAAACTGGCCAGGTCGGGAATTTTCTCTGCGCCTTTGGTCTCCCTGCAGAAGGCTCTCGGAGGGCACGGATGGGCTTTTGCAAGAGAAGTGACATGGATCTGCTCAGCGCCTCCTTGCACGGCAGGACATCGAGCGACACTATGGGCAGCAGGCCTGCGCACGATGGCATTTCCACGCGTATGAAAGCCAAAGTCACTTGGTCACTTCTACAGTCCTTAGAGCTGAATGAGATTGTACTGATGTTCTGCAGCTGCAGGACGGCCTGCGAGGATCTCGCACGCCGTCACGCCCACAGTCTCGCCCGCAGTCGGCGAATGCGCGACGCGCGGCTCTTGGACCAATTATCAATTATGATGTGCTTCAAAACTGTCATCTCCAGTTTGCATCATGTTCACGCCACCACCACAAAGGTTTTTTGTCCAAGTTCCCACTACAGCAGGGGGCAGGTTTGGGTTGTTGGGTTTTGCACGTGTGCAAAGAGTGACAAGCAGTGCGTAGTGCTCTTGTTCGCACTTTGGCATGCGGAGTTCGAGTGCAGCCGAAGCTCCGGTTCGAGTGGGCGAGAGTTTTTCCTTTTTAGGTTCGCGTGTGAAGCCATGTCGTGGACTGCAGAGGCGAGGATCAACCACTTGTGGTCGGCGATGGTCGAGGTCGCGGAGGCGTCAGAAGAGGACCTCATGCGGGTTATGCCACGTCTCCAAGACGCCGACCTGGTGAAGATCCGAGCCTGTTCGCACGCGGCTTAAATGCAGTCGGACGAGGTCGACCAACAGGTCGCGGCTGGGACGACCAACCCGGCTGGACAACCTGCTGGGTCGCGGACCGAGACATGGTCGGGGAGAGTTTCCGCTGAGGCTGGCAGTTCGCCGCCGAAAGCCACAGTGCCGGTCAAGCCAATCCCCAAGGACCAGAAAGGAAAGGGTCGCGGATCGTCCTCCTCGCAGCGATCAGGCCCAAGCTCCTCGACAACCCCAACGGCAAGTTCGGTGGTGGTGCCAACAGTGGCAAAAAGGCCGCCGACGGTGCCCGACGACTGGAGGCCGTCTCAGGTCGCGAAAGCTAAGGCCAACGACCAGGCTACGGACCCACCGGTGAAGTCGCCTCAGCCGGTCGCAGCCACGGCGCAGGGAGGAGCTGAGGGTCCGCCAATGTCGGGCGAGGACGCCATCGCCTTGCTGATGGCACCGCCGCTGGCTCCGCCTCCACAGCCAAAGGCCACGGGCTCTACGACCTCCCCGGCTCCTACAGGTTCGCCAACTACCACACCGCCGGTGCAACAGCCAAAGCCCGTGGCAACAGCGACAAAGAGCAAGTCCGTGGCCACAGGTTCGAGTGGTCGCCCACCGGTCGCGGATACGGGGGCCTCTCCTGGCGACGACCCGACAAGGAGCTCTACTACCAGTTCGTCGGGGAATGCAGCAGCAGCCCAGCTTCTGGCCGCAGGGCCGCCAGGGCCGAGGAGTCCGCCTCAGTTCGCTCCCTTTCCGGTTGGCGCACCGTACCCTCAGGTGGACGCGTGGGGTCGCACTTTCCAGGAGCGCCCGCCGGACTACACGGACACGGTGACAGCATGTGGACTTCGTTGCCCCGCGTGTTGGGGAGAGGCCTGCTTCCGGGTCAATAAGCACGGCTACAGAAGGTCGCATGAGAAACACCTGTGCGCCGCCTGCCACGTGCAGCACAAGCTGCTTAACCCCCGTGCGACGTAGGGCCGTGTCGCTAGGGTCGGTGTTCGGCTGTTCGGTTTTGGGAGGGTTCGTCGTTCGTGGGGGACCCGGGGCGCGTTCAGGGCTCTTTCCTTTGTGTTCGTTTTTGGGGCCTGGGGGTGGGTTTTGGTTCGGGTAACTAGATCGTCACGGCCTTACGTCCGCACTAGGGGGAGCCCAGAGTAGTTCGCCAGAGCAGTGTTCGCAAACAGCAAGAAAAGAGGGACCGAGTGAGAGTCAGGCAGTTTAGAGCTACATGTCAGTTCGGTCCGAGTCTTGCTTGAGTGTTCGCATGCAGTTGTGCAAATGAGCGGTGGGCAGTACTGCCTCCTCAAGAAACAGCGCGGGGGTAGTCATGTGGCATGTTCCGTGCTCTAGCGACCGAAGCCAATTCGCGAGTCTCGTGGAAGTTCTCCGAGCTACAGGCAATTCCTCTTTTGTGCGGGCACTTAGCCAAGAAGGTGTGAAGTCAGCTCGTGACCTCGAGAAGTGTTCGCGTTCAAAGCTTCGCGAAATTCTTGGGGATGTCGCCCTTGACCGGCTTATGCAGTCACAACCCGCTCGGCGCACAGGTCGCAATGACATTCCCGAGGTGCACCCGTACGCCCGAGGTTCGCTTCAGAGAATTGGAAGGCTTTTTCGTACTATTCGGGGGGTCAAAGATCAACCAGGGGATCCTGTTTCAGCGGAGCTTGAAAGGAGCATCGCCGCGCCGCCCACCAGAGACGAGCGCCGATTGCAAAAAAAACCCTAAGACACCAGCTAGAATTCATTTTTATACGAAACAGCATTACGTAGTAGTACACAGATCTTTCAATTTTACATTTCTCCTTTTTTCCTTCTCTCGGGGTTGGGGGGCTTCGGGGAGCGGGGGAGAGAGAAGCGACAGAGAAAGAGTGTAAGAGGAGAGAACCACGTTGTTGCACTTGCTGTCGTTCTGCCGCTAGAGCGCTACCTTAAACCCTAACCCTTAGTCTAAAACTACACTAAACTCTAACCGTAGTAGTTAACTTATATACACTGAACTCTAACCCTAATCGCTAACCCTACACCCTAACCCTCAACCCTAATCCTAACCCCGAACCCTAAACCCTAAAACTGCCGCGTGCCCGGCGGCTAAACCCTAAAACTGCCGGGTGCCAGGCGCAAACCTTAAGACCGTTAACCCTAAACCCTAATCCTTTATTAAAAAATACATTATTGTTAACTAAATAACAATCTAAACCCTACACTAAACTCTGACCGTCATCATCGCCAACTTGCACTGATCGCTTATTTAGTTATATTAATAACCCTAGGGTTTAGGGTTAGGGTTTAGGGTTAGGGGTTTAGGGTTTCGGGTTTAGGTTGACCCTAATCCTAAACCCTAACCCTAAACCCTATAGGGTTTAGGCGCTGTACCGGCAGTTTTAGGGTTTTTAGGCGCCGTACCGGCAGTTTTAGGGTTTAGGCGAAGTACCGGCAGTTTTAGGGCTTAGGGTTAGGGTTTAGTATTAGGCGATGTACCGGCAGTTGTAGGGTTTAGTTTAAGGTTTAGGGTTAAGGTTTAGGCACCGGAGACCCGGCAGTTTTAGGGTTTAGGGTTAGGGTTTAGGCGCCGTACCGGCAGTTTAGGGTTTAGGCGCCGTACCGGCAGTTTTAGGGTTTAGGATTAGGGTTTAGGCGCCGTACCGGCAGTTTAGGGTTTAGGCGCCGTACCGACAGTTTTATGGTTTAGGGTTAGGGTTTAGGCGCCGTACCGGCAGTTTAGGGTTTAGGCGCCGTACCGGCAGTTTTAGGGTTTAGGCGCCGTACCGGCACTTTTGGGGTTTAGGGTTTAGATTTAGTATTAGGCGATGTAGCGGCAGTTGTAGGGTTTAGTTTCAGGTTTAGGGTTAAAGGTTGATTATTATTATGCACCGGAGACCCGGCAGTTTTAGGGTTTAGGGTTAGGGTTTAGGCGCCGTACCGGCAGTTTTAGGGTTTAGGGTTAGGGTTTAGGCGCCGTACCGGCAGTTTAGGGTTTAGGCGCCGTACCGGCGGTTTTAGGGTTTAGGGTTAGGGTTTAGTATTAGGTGATGTACCGGCAGTTGTAGGGTTTAGTTTAAGGTTTAAGGTTAAGTTTTACGCACCGGAGACCAGGCAGTTTTAGGGTTTAGGGTTAGGGTTTAGTATTAGGCGATGTACCGACAGTTGTAGGGTTTAGTTTAAGGTTTAGGGTTAAGGTTTAGGCACCGGAGACTCGGCAGTTTTAGGGTTTAGGGTTAGGGTTTAGGCGCCGTACCGGCAGTTTAGGGTTTAGGCGCCGTACCGGCAGTTTTAGGGTTTAGGGTTTAGGGTTTAGGCGCCGTACCGGCAGTTTAGGGTTTAGGGTTAGGGTTTAGTATTAGGCGATGTACCGGCAGTTGCAGGGTTTAGTTTAAGGTTTAGGGTTAAGGTTTAGGCACCGGAGACCCGGCAGTTTTAGGGTTTAGGGTTAGGGTTTAGGCGCCGTACCGGCAGTGTAGGGTTTAGGCGCCGTACCGGCGCCGTACCGGCAGTTTTCGGGTTTAGGCGCCGTACCGGCAGTTTTAGGGTTTAGGGTTAGGGTTTAGTATTAGGCGATGTACCGGCAGTTGTAGGGTTTAGTTTAAGGTTTAGGGTTAAGGTTTAGACACCGGAGACCCGGCAGTTTTAGGGTTTAGGGTTAGGGTTTAAGCGCCGTGCCGGCAGTTTAGGGTTTAGGCGCCGTACTGGCAGTTTTAGGGTTTAGGCGCCGTACCGGCAGTTTTAGGGTTTAGGCGCCGTACCGGCAGTTTTAGGGTTTAGGGTTAGGGTTTAATATTAGGCGATGTACCGGCAGTTGTAGGGTTTAGTTTAAGGTTTAGGGTTAAGGTTTAGGCACCGGAGACCCGGCAGTTTTAGGGTTTAGGGTTAGGGTTTAGGCGCCGTACCGGCAGTTTAGGGCTTAGGCGCCGTACCGGCAGTTTTAGGGTTTACATTTAGGGTTTAGACGCCGTACCGGCAGTTTAGGGTTTAGGCGCCGTACCGGCAGTTTTACGGTTTAGGCGCCGTACCGGCAGTTTTAGGGTTTAGGGTTAGGGTTTCGTATTAGGCGATGTACCGGCAGTTGTAGGGTTTAGTCTAGGCACCGGAGACCCGGCATTTTTAGGGTTTAGGGTTATAGGGTTTAGTATTAGTATTAGGCGATGTACCGGCAGTTGTAGGGTAGTTCAGGCGCCGTACCGGCAGTTTTAGGGTTTAGGCGCCGTACCGGCAGTTTTAGGGTTTAGGGTTAAACCCTAAACCCTAAAACGCTTAACCCTAAACCTTGACATTTTGAAGGTTGGTTTGGTTTAAGTTAGCGATGTTAATAATAATGTTGTGCGAACGTTCGGTGATAGTAGTTTTATGCTGTGAATGAATGTACAACTGTGTACTTTCTTAATGTTATGGGATCCTAAGGGTGGGTGGGTGTCATTTCTATGCCGTAAACAGAACTCTACTAAACAACTGTTCGATCCGGAGCTGCTGAACCTTAAACCCTAAACCCTAAGCGCCGGGACCGGCACCGGTTTGCATGGTTTCGCAAAGTAACAAGAAATACCATTGCATGTATCAAAAGGCAATTGAATACAACTAACAATTGACGTAAATTG